TCTCTCATCTTGTATGTGGATTGTCTGGGATATTCCCAATTGCCCCGATATGTGGAGGAAGTTCAAAGGCCTGTAATCCAAAACAGAGCAGTAATAAAGTCAGAGTCCTCACTCAGCAGGGTATAAATTGGTTGTCTTCTCAGCAGTGCACACCCTGCAGACCTGAGGATGCTGAGCCACTTAGAGTGTAATTTTCAGCCCACTGTACAAAGCCAAAGCTAAACCAAGGATTCTGTAAACCTGCTCCCCTGATATATAATTCAGAGCAGCTCCAGAGTGAGCTTCCTTCCTTTTGTCCTTCACTATTCTTGAATAATTTCCCACTCTAAGTTTGTGGAGTGTATTCTATTCCATTACACAACGAAAAGCTAGATTAAAAGCACATTTATTAAGGTAGCAGTGTCATTCAAAAGTTAGAAAATGCAGGAATTAAGGTTGCTTGTGAACTTCAGTTCAGCCCCTCCCCCTTGTGAAAATTCGTATAATGCAGGCTCTACTGACAATCCATGATTACATACTATTTTTTGTATAGTATTGCTGCCTCACTCGCTACACAGAATGGACAATGTTCACTTAGAGCAAATGTACACTTAAAATGACACTCCAGCTGTGCTGCTGTAGTGCTTTCATGGAGCTACTCCAAGCAGACCAGAGAGAACTCTCCCATCCGCGTAGTTAATCCATCCCTCTTGAGGCAGTAGCTATGTCAGCAGAAGAATCTCTTCTGCCCACCTAGTGCTGTCTACATGGCGTTGGGGGAGGGGTTAGGTCTGTATAACTACATCACTTGGGAGGGGGTTTTTCACACCCCTGAGTGACATAGTTATAAGGTCTGTAGTGTAGACCAGACTTTAGTGTGCAACTATCCAACATTTTGTTTTCACTTCATTCTTCAGTTTGTGACTCCATGCCTTATTTCTTACACACAAGTTTTAAAGAGAGAATTATTTATTCCTCATGGGCTTTTCTATAGAGTACCTTCCTACAACATCTGACTGCTTCACAGATATTAATGAATCCCTTTTCACAAAACCCCTGTGAGGTGAGGGGACAGTATTCTCCCTATTTTACAGATAGATAGAGAGGTGAGGCACAGAGAGATTAAAGACAAAAATATCCACTAATTTAGGTTGGACCTGATTCCTAGGACCTGATTTTCCAAATTACTTAGCATTATACAGCACATTATAGGTTCAAAGTACAACTCCCATTGACTTCAATTGTTTGGCACTTTTGTAAACCAGACCCAGAGTAAGAAGTTGTATAAGAAAATGGGGAACACACAATTAGTGACAGTCTGCCATAAATGTTTGGTTTAAGTGACTTGACTAGGATCATATAGGAACTCTGTGGCAGAGTCAGGAAAGCATTCTCCCATGCAGCATCCCATTGCCTTCCCCATGAGACCTTCCTGCGATTCCCTGCCTCTTTCACTGTACACCTTCCAGTTTCTGCAACAAAAGAAGTAGGGGTTGTACAGACAACAGTCTCCCTGAGAAGGTACGTCCTGTGCCCTGAATGAGGAAGGAGACTTATGGGAAAAGGCTACCATAATGCATACTCCTGTGACCTAGGGAGGAAAATATTATCCACACTGTGGTGGGTTTTCCATCATTAGCAATTTTTAAACCAAGATTGGCTATTTTTCTAAAAGATATGCTCTAGTACAAACAAGAATTATTTTGGGGAAGTTCTATGGCCTTTTTTATACAGGTGGTCAGACTAGAAAATCAAAATGGTCCCTTCTGGCTTAGAATCCATGAATCTACAAATAAGCTGTGTTTCTAACCCAGAGAGTGATGTTACTTGCCACATAGTGATTTCTGGTTGATTGAGAGTAAATGTGAGGTCGTCTCTCCCTCCACTGGTGAGTATCCAGTCATTGCTCATTTCTTGGGCCCAGAACTGGTGCTCAACCACTTCCAGCAGCTCCGTGAATGCCACTAACAAACTTGATTTTTTTTTTCCTGCTCTATTGCACAGAAAGCTGTCCTCCAAGCAGTCATCACGTTCCCAGTTGTTGCAGTACTTCCTGCAGGTCTGCAAATACAGGAGAAATGAGTGACCTGTATTTGCAACATTCCTGAGACGAGTATAGAGCTGTGCAGGCTCCACGCTTCTGTCGGAGATGGTGGGCACCAAAAAGTGCCACACTAGCTTGTGGAATTTAGGGGGGAAAAAAGGCACAAAAATTATGGGATATGGACGGTATTATGGGAGGGACAAAGTTGCATGCTAAGATCATGACCCCAGGCTCTAGAAATCCCTAGGAGAATCATTTCTATCCTGTCAGACACTGCAAAAATTTCCCCAAAGGCATCCTGTCAGGTGCTGGCACATTGCACACGAGGCTCCGGATTCATGGTGCACTGCACATTGATACAAACCCTCCTGGTGAATGCACACAGTGCTGAAGCAAGCAGCCCAGTATTCACACACACTACTAGTAATATACTAAGTTCAGTGACAAAGGATTTGTGAACTTGCCAAGGAGTTTTTGGACTAAGTAGGTGGATGGGTTTTGCTGAGTATTGTTTTGGGTAAGGTGGTGGGGGCGGGAGAGGAGAGAAAATATTCAAATTGACACACAATTAAGTCCACACTTAAAATTTAGACTGACATAGCTACAGTACTCTGGGGTGTGAAAAAGCCACACCTATGAATGCCATAGATTTGCTGACCTAACTGCTGGTATAGATGCAGCTAGGTCACCGGAAGAAATTTTCACCTATCTACTCTCACTCAGGGAGGTGGTGTTTCTAAAGAGAGAGAAAAAGCCCTTCCATCGCTGTAGTCTTTGTCTACGCTATGGGATTATGACAGTATCGCTACGGCACCATAGCTATGCTTCTATAGTCCCCATAGTATAGACATGGTCTGAGAGACAGACAGACATCTGGAAGGAGCAGCTGTAAGCAGTATCTGACTCTGAAAGAAATCTGGGGAGAGTTTTTTTGAGTCAGGGGTACAAGCTGAGAAGGATGTTGTCGGTGCTCTGAGCAAAAGAAGCTGTTTTCCTGCTTGATTCCTTCTGTGTTCTGAGATGCAGGCATTTGTACATTCATTGTAAATAAACAAAACTACATCTTCTGAGTGTCTAGTAGTTAAGAACTTGGTATAGATTGAGGAGACAAGATGGGAAGGGCTGCTGAGGTCACCCGGCAAGGAGTAACTAGTCTGGTGGAAGCCAGGCTGAGACCTTTATGCTTGTAGGCTATCTACTGGTGTCAAGGCTGAGCCCATAGCTGCACAGCGACAGGCATTCAAAGTTACAAGTCGGGTGGTGACAGAACCCCTTACTGGTCTGGGTGATTGCTGAAATGTCACAACAACTTCTCTCCCTTTAACCTGGGATTGGATGACATATACCTACTATTACTTTACTTTAGAGCCCTATCCACAGCATAACCCGTGTGTCTGGGGGGGGGGGGGGGGTGCGAGAGGGGAAGGGGAGAGAGGAAAGACCTCTTATATTTCCTAAACAACCAGTGGAGTTTCAGAATAGTAAATATTTGCTCATTACTTGTTGCAGACTGGTCAGATATTATGTTTTGCATTTTTATTAATTATTTTTAAATATTATTATTATTGTACTATATTACATTCAATCTAAAATTGGGTGTCTTCACCGTTGTTTAGTAGCTGATTGTGGCCTAGTTTTCACCCAATATAATCACAAGTAAGAGCTAATTACCATTGCAGAATTGAAAGAAAAGCGATTTCCTCAATTTTTTTGCAACTCTAAGGTAAATTATGAATAAATTAGCCTCCTCCCCCAACCCCCATCCGGAATTTTACATTTTATTAAAAATATATATATATATACATATTGGGTTTGAAACTGTTCGAATGCCCCTATCACTTTTAAAAAACCAAAACAGTGAATCATCTTGTAGTAATGTTGCAGAACAGATTAAAAATCTCATTCAGTTCTTGATGCAATACAGATATGACTAAATCACACGGTTAACATTGATTTTTCCTCACTACAGAAGCCATTTTCATATAATATATTAAAGCTAAAAATAAAAAAAAGCACTGATTGATTAGATTTTGATCTTTAATTCTCCATATGGTTTAGATTTTTATTGAAGCATTGCTTCTGACTTTCTATGAGTTTTAACAGACTATAATGAAACAAACACCCTAATAGTTCTTCTATTTTAAATTAAAGTTCAGAACACTATCATTTAAAAAATGGCTACTGCTTTTAATGAACAGAAGTGACTTTCTTGGAATAAAATTAAGTTAAAGAGCAGTACAGTAAAATGAATTTGAACTTTACAAAATAATAATGACATCTTGTTTATCTTCTATTAAAATAGCAAAAAAGGTACATCACAACTACTTTTATATACAATTCCTGGAACATAAACATCCTTCCTGAGGTATTTGATCAGCTCTCTGTTGTTTTCTATAATGGATTTTTTCAACAGAATTAAGTGTTTTAGGGGGTAGAATATTTGGTTAAGAGAGCCAATTCTTAATCCTTATTCAAAGCACAAGGATGAACTTGTGTTACTTTCTTCTTTTTGAAATCATTTTACACTGACAACATTACTTCAAATAACTGGCTTTGTACCTTGATTTGGAGAAAACCTTCTAAAGAATGAGATATAATTGTACATGTGATTTTATTGACAGTGATATGGTTTAAATTTACAACGAAAAACTAAAGTTTCTCTCTTCAGAGGTCTCTCCAACCCCAGGTCTCAGGATTTATTGGCATTTTTTTAGCTCATCTTTAGTCTCTCCTACTGGAAACTCTACTGAATGAAAATGCCCTGTTTCCCCTTCACCCAGCTAAGAAATAGGGTGATTTGGTGATAGATATTTAGCAAAAAATACCCCTTTTTAACTCCGAAGAAACACAGAGAGAGGAGAAGAGATCTGTTTGCTTTCAGTGGGGCGGGCTCTTTAATGCGCCAATCACAGAGCAGCTCCTCTCTATAAATACCAGCCGTCTGCCTTTGTCTAGTCTTAGTTTTTTTTTTCTTTTTCTGATTTTAGAAAACACGAATCACTATGTCGGAAACGGCGCCTGTCGCAGCTCCTGCTGTCTCCGGTCCTGGGGCAAAAACTTCTACTAAAAAACCGAAGAAGGCGGCAGGAGGCTCTAAAGCCCGCAAGCCTCCAGGTCCCAGCGTGACCGAGCTGATCACCAAGGCGGTGTCCGCTTCCAAGGAGCGCAAAGGGGTCTCGCTGGCCGCTCTTAAGAAGGCTCTGGCCGCCGGAGGGTACGATGTGGAAAAAAGCAACAGCCGCATCAAGCTCGGGCTCAAGAGCCTGGTGAGCAAGGGCACCTTGGTGCAGACCAAGGGTACTGGCGCATCCGGTTCTTTTAAACTCAACAAGAATCCGGATGAGACTAAGGAAAAGGCGTCCAAGAAAAAACCAGCGGCAAAGCCTAAGAAACCAGCTGCCAAGAAACCCAAAAAGGCTGCGGCCGTGAAAAAGAGCCCGAAAAAAGTCAAGAAGCCAGCAGCTGCCGCGGCCAAGAAGTCAGCCAAGAGCCCGAAAAAGGTGAAAGCTGCCGCCAAGCCTAAGAAGGCAGCCAAGAGCCCGGCTAAGGCCAAAGCGGTGAAGCCCAAGGCGGCCAAGCCCAAGCCGACGAAGCCCAAAGCAACGAAGGCTAAGAAGGCAGCGCTCAAGAAGAAGTAAAAGGGTTAGAAAGTAATTTGTCATACAGAGAAATCCAACGGCTCTTTTAAGAGCCACCCACCCTTTCCCAGAGGAGCTGAAACACCAGGTTCACCTCAGTAACCTCGTGCTGCTTTTCATGAGGCGCACAACTTTAAGAAACGAAAGTAATACAAAGGAGGGAGACATAAAGTGATCGGTTTCGTACATTTTCCTTCTTTGCCCGCGACAAGAAACAACATGGTATCCATTCTTTAAAATGAGGGACGCTGGTTCATTTATATTTTAGAGGAGTGTATTAAAATCGATCTAGAGGATCGGCCCAAATTCATGATTACTAGCAGCTAAACAGGTTTTCTCCCCTACCCATTCAGAAAAAAAAAAAAAAAAAACAACCCTGAGAGGAACGAGCTTTAACAATCATGCTTATTGTGTAAAGGGAGGGGGAGGGGAGGAAGGTGGCCATTCCTCGCACATCAGCTTCGGTTCGGACAGGATTTATTGTCTAGGAGGAGGGGAAAGTGAGAGGACAGTGTGTGAGGGAAAACTGCGTGTCTACACACACACACACACTCTCTCTCTCTTCTGCCCAGCTGACAGTGGTGGGATCAGGATCAATCCCGTTGGTGGGTTTGAAAAGCCCGCGCTCTGCAAGGATTGGCCTGTGGCAACTCGTCCCCCCTTCTTTTATTGGGGGTAGGGGGAATCACTAGTTTCCCATGTAAATTGATACCTCCTCACACGGGGATTTTTGTTTATCTTCAAATGAGATTCGTCTGGCACTTACTTGGAAACCTTTATTCTCTGAAATCAGAGCACTACTAAGGAGGCGGGAGGGGGAGGGGGCATTTTTCAGTTTGTTCTCTCTTTCCTTGATTAATACCCGTTCTGTTCATACTCTCCTCCATCGCCACGTCCGCTTTCTATCCTTGTTTCTCTCCCGGGCTGTGCTTTCAGTCCTTTAACCAATTCTCTAGAAATCACATCTTACTGATGCTTCTCAGAATGACCTTCACCTGGATACATTAGGAATTCCCTAAGGGTTGGGAGGGACATTTATATCAAGTGTAAACCTCTGTTAGTTGGTCCAACTGATAAGAACGTGTTGAGATTGATATCCAGTATGTGGACCTGCCGTTGGAGAAAAAGGAAACACATTTGTTTCACAAAAAGAAAAGGAGTACTTGTGGCACCTTAGAGACTAACCAATTTATTTGAGCATGAGCTTTCGTGAGCTAGCTGTAGCTCACGAAAGCTCATGCTCAAATAAATTGGTTAGTCTCTAAGGTGCCACAAGTACTCCTTTTCTTTTTGCGAATACAGACTAACACGGCTGTTCCTCTGAAACCTGACATTTGTTTCAGAGGGTTTTACAGATATTTTCTTACAACACAAGAATGTTGAGATTCAGGAATCCTAGGTTTTATTCCAGACTCTAGAGGGGAGTGTTTTTTTATAGTTAAAGACCCTTCTTCCCCTTTCCATCTTTAGTGTGACCCCCGTCTATAAAGGCCCTTCTAATTTGTCCATGTTCTAGTCCTCCCCCTTCACCATCTCCTGTCTCCTGCTCCCTCACCAAGCTCCTCGCCCCTCTGTATTCCAGTTAGAAAAGTGGTTCTCACACTTTTGTACTGGTGACCCCTTTCACATAGCAAGCCTCTGAGTGCGACACCGCCTCCCTTATAAATTAAAAACACATTTAAATATATTTAACACCATTATAAATGCTGGAGGAAAAGCGGGGTTTGGGGTGGAGGCTGACAGCTCACGGCCCCACAGGTAATAAGCTCATGACTCACTGAAGGGTCCCAGCCCCCAGTTTGAGAACCCCTGAGTTAGAATATATACTCCTTCATCCTGCCTGTGTGCCAAAAATGGGGGCATGGAAACTACAGAAAAGACAGTCTCCCTGCTTTAATTTCCAGTGCCTGAAACCATAGTGATCCTTGGTAGATGCCAGGAGTTTTTGCAGGGGAAGTTCTGCTCAACGGTCTGAGGGGGGACAATAGTAAGGGAAGCCAAACTTCAGACAATTTAGTTGCCAAAGGAAAAATGCTCTGCTGAACATGTACGGATTGAGAGTTTTCAGAGGCTAACAACTTGGCCACACTGGGGTAGATGTTCATGGGGATAACAAAAAGGATATCCCTGACACTTTTGTGGCCAATCTGCTTAACGTTAAGTATGTACCTTAAAGCATGGAGGAGCTTAAGCATCTCAAGACAACAATTGTGAGAACATTTTAATGTGGGCAATACAATGTATTTTCCTCCAACCTTGACCAATGGCTGAACTTTTTCTTTGTGGCAATTATATTGATGTCAATGAGATTGCACTGGTGTAGACTATGAATGTTGTGATGTGCAATTGGTGCACTCTGCCAGAATTAAATAAGGTTTGGGGTTGACAAGCCCATTATTATACATCAGTTTAACTTTTTTTATTAAAGATATAGAATAGGAAAAAGCAGTTCAAACATAGAAATGTAAAATATTAAACGAGGCTTGAATTTTAACAATATCCTTTGTTCTCTTTCCCTTTAGCTGGAGAGAGTTTTAGAAGGAAAACCCCTGTGATGGTATCAAAGATGGTAATAAATGTCCTTTTGGGGAGAAGAGAAGAAGTTTGTTGACATGGGCTGGAGCTGTTGTTGTTAAAGACCAAACCCATTTCATCCAAGGTGGTGTATACAATTCAGCTGGAGCTGCTAGATGTCAGTGTTATCTGTGTTCCTCTCTCTGGCCAGGTCTGGTAGACATCACAGTCTCCGGAGGCGGAGGATGAAGGGCAAGGGTCACAGGTGATGGTGGGGATGACAGCCATGATGCTGAAACTTGCTTCAGAGGCCTCTGTCTATTCCACACACAGCCAAATCTTTTTCTTTCAGGACCCAAAAAAGAGAATGATGAGTAGAATAGCCAATCCCCTCATAATTTTGCCCACCATTTAGGCCTAATGTCCAACACACCAATTTTGGTTCACTGATTTATGGATCCACATTCTCTTGTTTACCAAGCAAGATCTTAAAACAGATATTGAAATATACCAGTAGACCTTTTAATGTAAACTAATTCAGTCTTTCTGCCTCCTTTTCAGACCTTATGCCATCAAAATTTGTTGTTATAGGTTATTGTGGCAACTTATTAATATTTACATACATTTTACAGAGAGCTCACAATTACGTCAATTTCTTGGCCTAATTCTCAAAATACCCCCATGCTATTTTTAAAGGGGCAGCTCACCTTTCTACCATTACAAAGTTGATATATATACTTTTTAAAAAAAACAACAAGGAGTCTGGTGGCACCTTAAAAACTAACAGATTTATTTGGGCATAAGCTTTCGTGGGTAAAAAACCACTTCTTCTTGGGTCGAATCCTTGTATTAAAGACACAGAAAAGGAAGAAAAAGTTAAAGTATTTGAAAAGTAAAATATTAATAAGTAAGGCTTTCACTTTAACAACATCCCTTGTTCCCTTTCCCTGCATCTGTAGCCAGTGTTTAAAGGAAGAACACAAACAAAAACAAACCATCTAAACCTTGTTTGACAGTCTCTTTGATTATAGTAAAGATGGTAACTACTGTCCCTCAGGGAAAAGACAAGTTAGTTGAGATTGGCTGGCGCTGTTTTTGTTGCTGTTGCTACAGTTGTAAAAATCTGATCTCATTTCCTAGAAGACTGTCAGGGTTCCCTCCCCGCTCTGAACTTTGGGGTACAGATGTGGGGACCCGCATGAAAGCCCCCCTAAGCTTATTTCTACCAGCTTAGATTAAAAACTTCCCCAAAGCACAAATCCTTTGTCCTTGGACGGTATGCTGCCACCACCAAGTGATTTAGACAAAGAATCAGGGAAAGGACCACTTGGAGTTCCTATTCCCCCCAAATATCCCCAAGCCCCTTTCCTGGGGAGGCTTGAGAATAATATCCTAACCGATTGTTTCCAAAGTGAGCACAGATCAACCCCCCTGGGTCTTAGGGCATTGAAAAAAAATCAATCAGGTTTTTTAAAAAGGTAAAAGAATCACCTCTGTAAAATCAGGGTGGAAGATAACTTTACAGGGTAACAAAAGATTCAAAAACACAGCAGAACTCCCTCTAGGCTTAGTTTCAAAGTTACAAAATACAGGAATACACCTCCCTCCAGCAAAGGGAAAATGGACAAGCTAAAACAAAAGATAATCTAATGCGCCTTGCCTTACTTACTCTTTTTGCAATATTGAGACTCATTTTAGGATGGTTTATAGGAGAAGGAGTTTTCTGACCTGATGCTTCTCTGCTTCCCAAGAGAACACACACAAACTAAGCCCCTCCCCCAAGATTTGAAAGTATTTTCTTTCCCCATTGGTCCTTTTGGTCAGGTGCCAACCAGGTTATTTGAGCTTCTTAACCCCTTACAGGTAAAAAGGAATCCTAGGCTACCCTTAGATGTATGGTTATGACAAAGACAAAACGAGAAAAAATGTGCACAAAAGGGGAAAGAAAATAAGAGCAAAGATAGAAAATGTATCTTCTGTCTTTGGTATTGACTTTCACTTACAACCTCACTTTTGGAAAACCACAGGAAGAGCACATGGTCTTACCTGCCACTCTGAGACCTGGCAAACTTGCACTAGCATCAAGTTTTTTAGGGTCTGACATTTAGCTGCCTATTTCGAGTCACAGACTTTCAGTTGCACAATATGCAGTCCTGGTCAGTGTTGGGATTATCTGAAATAATTAATAAGGGAAACCTCTATGTTTCCCATTTGTTAGAACTCCTACTTTGCAAACATATCTATGTGCAATTGAAGTTCTTCCGGCTTCTTGTAGTGTTCTCTCTTTGTTCAGGGAGAAATAACCTGGTATTCAGAGTACTAGTAATCCTCCTGTGAGACTGAGAGGCATGAACAAAAGGTATCTATTTAAAAATAATCATCAGTAGTAAATAGGAAAAGTAACCAGAATGTTGTATCGTTTAAAACTCCTGCGGCTTAAAAAACAACAACAACAACAACGTCCATCAGAGGACAGCGGAGGATAAGGAATGAGAAAGGGCGACAAGTTTTTCAACGGCTTTTGAGAACCCCCTTCAGATAACGTCCACCCATGCTTTCCAAAGATATGAGGGTTCCTACTAAACGGGTACAGTGTAGCCTTTGCGTTGCCACACGTGCAGGTATAAACTCCTTTTCTAAGTATTGCCCCCGAGCCCCCCCTTTGCATCTAAGCAATTCAGAAGCTGACCCCTTCCCAACATGAAACAATGATTTCTGCCTCTGAGGTAGAGGAACGAGTTCCTTTCTCTGGAATGGGAAAGCAGGCTGGTTTTGTGAGCGATTATCTCTGTAGTCGTTTTTATGCATTAGTCACACTGTGGCTGTGTCACATGTACTGTGAAAGAAACAGTAAGAATGAGCATACCACCAAATGAACAAATTTAAGGAATGGAAGAAAAAAATGCGGTGTCCCCCGCTTTATCTTTTGATGAAGAAATGTGCACGTTTCGTTCACATTAACCCTCCCTGTGACAGCCTTTGGAAAACACAGGGGAGAGACGATGCGTCCGGAAACTTGATTGGTCAGATTTTGATGCAGTCTGTAAATGTTTGAAAATCAGAGGACGGTTTAAAAAAAAAAAAAATTTAGGTTTTTGGTGGGAGGCCCCAAAGGGGATTGAAAAATTTGGGGGGGGGGTTTTTTTGGGGGGGGGCGGGGGGGGGGGGGGGGGGGGGGGGGGGGGGGGGAACCTTCACCAAGCACCCTATGCAGGCATCGGCAACCGGAGGAGGGGGGGTTGGGGGGAAAAGGGGCCGGGGCCCCCCCCTTTTTTTGGGGGGTTCTCAAAGGGCGGCCGACCATAGGAGAGGGGGCGCGTTCTGGTTTTCTGGGGGGTTAGGTGGTCTGGTCGGGTGGGGGTTGGGAAGGGGGGTGGGTCGGGTCTGGATAACATTCAGGGTATCACGAGCGGTTTCGTCGTTTGGGGCGTGGTGGGTAAAGGTTTTCTGGTTGTCTGAAGAAACGAGGAGTGTGAAGTGTTTTAGAGAACGGTCCGGGTGTCTTACACTGAACTGGAAAGATGTGTGTTGAGGTTTTGTTGAAAGGGTCTCGTGGGGGGTTTTCTAAGTTGAAACTTCAAAACGGTGGTTTCAGGATTCTAGTCTGTTTTGAAATTGGGGTGTGGGGGGGTAAATTGTGTTTTGTTGTTTCGGGGTTTTTTTCTCCTTCCTAATCAGTCGGGGGAGGATGTTCGGGGGGGGGGGGGAAAGTGGTTTGCTAAATGTCTTCGTGGGGGAGCGGGGGTCGGGGTGTGTCCGGGGGTCGGAATTGTGGGTAGGGTCTGATAAAGGTTTTGGTCTCCGTGGGGGGGGTTTTGCGGTTCTTTTTCTTTTGGTGGAGAGATATGGGGGGGGTGATCGGAATTGGTTTGTGGTTGGGGTCGGAGGGGTGAGGGGGGGCTTCTTGGGCAGGGCCTCAAGGATAAATGGAGGTTTTTGTGTCCTTGTGGTTCGTGTGGGGTTCGTGTCGGCGTTGTTCTTGGTTATTGTCTTCGAGTTGTTAGGTTTGGGTTTGGAAGTGAAATATGAGAGAGGGTTTTGGGAGAGGTGGGGGGGGGGGGGGGGTTTCGGGGGGGGGGAGATGGTGGGGTGGGGGGTTTGTGCGTGGTTTGGGGGCGCCGGGTGGGGGGGGGGGGGGGGTCGGTGTTCGTGCGCGCGGGTTTAATGTTCATTGTCATGTGCTGTTCATGTCAACAACGATCAGAAGGGCCTGGGTTTCACCGGGGGGGGGTCCTCTGTCTTTGCGTGTTGTCTCAGGTGGTTGGGGTGGGTGGGGCTCACCGGTGGCCCCCCGGCGGCCGGGCGCTCGTTGGGGGGTGGACCTCTTCGACCGTGGGGTCGTCCGAATCTAGCTCCAACCTTGGTGGTGGGTCGCGCTCGGGGGGTCGGGGGTGGGGGCGGCTTGGTGGGGGGCCTGGTGGGGTTCTCGTGTCGCGCCGGGGGGGTTTTTTTGGCTGCTTGGTGGTCTTGCCTTCTTAGGTCCCTCGTTTGGCTTGGTTTTGGATCGGTTTTGTGAAAGCTTGCCTCTGTCGTTGGTTCCGTCTCCTCCTGCTTCTTTCGTGGTTGGTTCTGCTTGGGCTCGGCTGTGCGGGTCGTCTGGTGGGTTTCTTCCTCGGGGTGGGCCGGCCTGTCTTCCCTGGTTTGGCTTGTTTTGGGTAAAACAAAAAAACTCAATTTACATTTGATTAGTAATTTGAAATTTAAAGTGACATTTTCTCATTACAGGCAATACAGTTAGAATCGTAAGATTTCAAAGGATATTGATACACAATTTTATGACTGTGTGTTGCAGCTTCTTTTGAATGTGAATGTGGTGGCTCTTAAAAGAGCCTTTGGATCTTTCGTAATGGTTTCCTAGTTGCCAAAAGGTGGTGGGTGTAAACTTTTAAGCTCTCTCGCCTCGGATACGCCGAGCTAACTGGATGTCTTTGGGCATGATGGTGACTCTCTTGGCGTGAATAGCACACAGGTTGGTGTCCTCAAAGAGCCCCACCAAGTAGGCTTCGCTGGCCTCCTGCAGGGCCATAACGGCCGAGCTCTGGAAGCGCAAGTCGGTCTTGAAGTCCTGGGCGATTTCACGCACCAGGCGCTGGAAGGGCAGTTTCCGGATGAGCAGTTCGGTAGATTTCTGGTAGCGGCGGATCTCTCGCAGGGCCACGGTGCCGGGTCGATAGCGATGGGGTTTCTTCACTCCCCCAGTAGCAGGAGCGCTCTTCCGGGCAGCTTTAGTGGCCAACTGCTTACGGGGGGCTTTGCCACCGGTGGATTTACGGGCGGTTTGCTTGGTCCGGGCCATTCTCAGCAACCCTCAATCACAACTCTGAGACAAACAGCGCAAAAGAACAAAGTAAGGTAGAGCCCCCCGGCTCCGGTGGTATATATAGCCCAGTGCTCCTTTCTGATTCGTTGTTGACATGGAGACAGCTATCATTGGACAATTTGAACATTTGAAAAGCCCGCGCTTGTGCAGCGAAACATCCGACCCGCCCTTCCCCACCCCCCAGCGTCGGCGGGACCAGTCTCGCCCAAACTGGCTTTTAACGGTCAGGTCACTAAACTCGCGCTCTCTGGATGTCCCCATAGTCCGATTCTTGCGGTTCCCCCCTCCCTCTGAAACTCCGCCGCTCCCTCCCTCACCTTCTACCTCTCTCTCTTTTAAAGAGGCGGCTCGTCGTCTCATATTTCACTTCCAAACGGGCCAAATCTCTGATACAGTACTGCGAAGAAGCGTGAACGATGTTCGGTATCTTACATATGAACAACTTGCACGAGCACGAATCCCCGGAAGGTAACACTGAAACCACAGGATGTGTTGACTACATAAAAAAGTCTCTTCGTGTGCTAATTTATCGGCTTTTAGAAGGTGACAGCGCTTGACTCCTTATGAAGGAAGGACCTCTTTACTCTCCTTCAGTCCTGCCTTAAGCTTCAGAGGCCACCAAAGGTCACTTATCAATTGTAATTCTTACATATGTTCTCGATTGACATCTTCTCATGCCCCCCATATCTTCTCCACCAAAATGAAAAAAGTGTGTATGAAATAGGGGGCCTTGTGGAACAAAGCGGGAAATCTCTTTTGTCCTCCCCAAATGCGGGAGGAACCAAAACGGACACTAGTGTTTTTAGTCAGAGTGGACGCTATTGCATTTTACCCATCAATTGTTTCTCGAGCTATCACGACGCGGGTGAGGCAGCAGAAAGGTCTTCCCGCGAACCCCACGCTGTTCTGCCTCTCGTTATCCGGAGAGCTGACGAAACAGATTTTGTCTGAGCATAAAGGTCGGCCATAAAGCTTTTGACCACGGGGTTTAGTCACCCCCCTCCCCTCTGCAGCGAAAGAACATTAATCCTTCTCTTTCCACGTGATCTATGATTTAGGTAAAGTGAGAAAATAAAACACTCCGAAAACTTAACAAAATACACATCATTTATCGCGCGCGCGCACACACACGCACACACTCTGCAATTTCAAAAGCAGACTAGTAATTAAGCTCTCGTTGTGAAAATGTGGGTGGCTCTTAAAAGAGCCTTTGTGGTTTTGAGGATGTTTCAACTTTAAAGCCGGATGGAAACTTAGCCCCCGAAGCCGTAGAGAGTGCGACCCTGGCGTTTCAGAGCATAAACTACGTCCATAGCAGTCACAGTCTTTCGCTTGGCATGTTCAGTGTAAGTGACAGCGTCACGGATCACGTTCTCTAAAAACACTTTCAGCACTCCTCGGGTTTCTTCATAGATCAAGCCAGAAATACGCTTTACGCCACCACGGCGCGCCAAACGACGAATAGCCGGCTTCGTGATACCCTGAATGTTATCACGGAGTACCTTGCGATGGCGCTTAGCACCCCCCTTTCCCAAGCCCTTACCACCTTTGCCGCGACCAGACATAGTGCTACGACCTTAGAAGCACCGCTCTCAGAAAACCAGAACGAGCAAGTTGCTTCGGCTCGTTCTACTCTCCGTATATGGTCTGGGAGCCGACCTGTTTGAGAACTCTCAAGAAAAGGGGTGGAGCCTTGGCCCTGTTTTCCACCGAACTCCCCCTCCTCCGGTTGCCGATGCCTGCATAAGGCGTGCTTCGGTAGAAAAGAGGCGGGTTATTGAGTTTGCTGTCCCTCCTCTCCTCTCCTCTTCCTTCCCAGCCCACCCGCCGCTGGTGGCAGGGGTACGCTGCTCTAGATTTGAATTAAAGAAGGAAGCTAAAATAGATAGATTCGATCCGATCCAGGATAAGTCCTTCGTTTGTAATACCGAGACACACTATCAAAACTAGATGGTCACAATGATCCCTTCTGGCCTTAGAATCCACGAAAAAGTCCTGCTTGCAGCAATTAGGATTGTAATGCAACCCCGCGGTTTCTGGCAATATCGCCCCGTCTCTGTGAATTGTGCAAAATAAGAGCCACTTCCCAGCTGAACTTTGTATTTGTCCTTAGCTTATGATCTTCCTTTCTGGAGGGTCTTCCATCCAGAGATCTTCATATTTGTGGCTTTTTTTTTTTTTTTTTAAACCGTCCTCTGATTTTCAAACATTTACAGACTGCATCAAAATCTGACCAATCAAGTTTCCGGACGCATCGTCTCTCCCCTGTGTTTTCCAAAGGCTGTACAGGGAGGGTTAATGTGAACGAAACGTGCACATTTCTTCATCAAAAGATAAAGCGGGGGACACCGCATTTTTTTCTTCCATTCCTTAAATTTGTTCATTTGGTGGTATGCTCATTCTTACTGTTTCTTTCACAGTACATGTGACACAGCCACAGTGTGACTAATGCATAAAAACGACTACAGAGATAATCGCTCACAAAACCAGCCTGCTTTCCCATTCCAGAGAAAGGAACTCGTTCCTCTACCTCAGAGGCAGAAATCATTGTTTCATGTTGGGAAGGGGTCAGCTTCTGAATTGCTTAGATGCAAAGGGGGGCTCGAGGGCAATACTTAGAAAAGGAGTTTATACCTGCACGTGTGGCAACGCAAAGGCTACACTGTACCCGTTTAGTAGGAACCCTCATATCTTTGGAAAGCATGGGTGGACGTTATCTGAAGGGGGTTCTCAAAAGCCGTTGAAAAACTTGTCGCCCTTTCTCATTCCTTATCCTCCACTGTCCTCTGATGGACGTTGTTGTTGTTGTTGTTGTTTTTTAAGCCGCAGGAGTTTTAAACGATACAACATTCTGGTTACTTTTCCTCTTTACTACTGATGATTATTTTTAAATAGATACCTTTTGTTCATGCCTCTCAGTCTCACAGGAGGATTACTAGTACTCTGAATACCAGGTTATTTCTCCCTGAACAAAGAGAGAACACTACAAGAAGCCGGCAGAACTTCAATTGCACATAGATATGTTTGCAAAGTAGGAGTTCTAACAAATGGGAAACATAGAGGTTTCCCTTATTAATTATTTCAGATAATCCCAACACTGACCAGGACTGCATATTGTGCAACTGAAAGTCCGTGACTTGAAATAGGCAGCTAAATGTCAGACCCTAAAAAACTTGATGCTAGTGCAAGTTTGCCAGGTCTCAGAGTGGCAGGTAAGACCATGTGCTCTTCCTGTGGTTTTCCAAAAGTGAGGTTGTAAGTGAAAGTCAATACCAAAGACAGAAGATACATTTTCTATCTTTGCTCTTATTTTCTTTCCCCTTTTGTGCACATTTTTTCTCGTTTTGTCTTTGTCATAACCATACATCTAAGGGTAGCCTAGGATTCCTTTTTACCTGTAAGGGGTTAAGAAGCTCAAATAACCTGGTTGGCACCTGACCAAAAGGACCAATGGGGAAAGAAAATACTTTCAAATCTTGGGGGAGGGGCTTAGTTTGTGTGTGTTCTCTTGGGAAGCAGAGAAGCATCAGGTCAGAAAACTCCTTCTCCTATAAACCATCCTAAAATGAGTCTCAATATTGCAAAAAGAGTAAGTAAGGCAAGGCGCATTAGATTATCTTTTGTTTTAGCTTGTGCATTTTCCCTTTGCTAGAGGGAAGTGTATTCCTGTATTTTGTAACTTTGAAACTAAGCCTAGAGGGAGTTCTGCTGTGTTTTTGAATCTTTTGTTACCCTGTAAAGTTATCTTCCACCCTGATTTTACAGAGGTGATTCTTTTACCTTTTTAAAAAACCTGATTGATTTTTTTTCAATGCCCTAAGACCCAGGAGGGTTGATCTGTGCTCACTTTGGAAACAATCGGTTAGGATATTATTCTCCAGCCTCCCCAGGAAAGGGGCTTGGGGATATTTTGGGGGAATAGGAACTCCAAGTGGTCCTTTCCCTGATTCTTTGTCTAAATCACTTGGTGGTGGCAGCATACCGTCCAAGGACAAAGGATTTGTGCTTTGGGGAAGTTTTTAATCTAAGCTGGTAGAAATAAGCTTAGGGGGGCTTTCATGCGGGTCCCCACATCTGTACCCCAAAGTTCAGAGCGGGGAGGGAACCCTGACAGTCTTCTAGGAAATGAGATCAGATTTTTACGACTGTAGCAACAGCAACAAAAACAGCGCCAGCCAATCTCAACTAACTTGTCTTTTCCCTGAGGGACAGTAGTTACCATCTTTACTATAATCAAAGAGACTGTCAAACAAGGTTTAGATGGTTTGTTTTTGTTTGTGTTCTTCCTTTAAACACTGGCTACAGTTGCAGGGAAAGGGAACAAGGGATGTTGTTAAAGTGAAAGCCTTACTTATTAATATTTTACTTTTCAAATACTTTAACTTTTTCTTCCTTTTCTGTGTCTTTAATACAAGGATTTTTAATGGTGTTTGCCATGGTGCTAAGCATTTCTGAGTACCAAACCTGGTTTAAAACTGTTTAATGTTGGACAGTGACTGGGTCTTTGTAGCAGTGTATGCATGCACTCCCTGTCCCCTGATGCAGCAGGCGATGGGAGTGCTGACACCGTGTAACCATCTACCCGACTGTTTCAGACCTCGCCATGATAAGGCACAGTGGTCAGATTCAACACAGCTACCCTTGGGGTCAAGTCTGTGTGACCTAGTGGCCAGAGTCAAAGAAGCAGACCACCACCCAAGGGTGGGTAGCAGCAGGGATGATAGGGGGACCCGGTCCCTCCGTCTCCACTGGGTCCAGGCCCAAAGTCCTGTCAGCGGTGAGTGTGATCACCACCCAGTGAGCGGGGATCCTACTGCAACACGCTGATTCTCTTAAGGTGCGAGGCACCACTCACTACACCCCTCGAGGCCACTTCCTACAGTAAATCCCGAAGCCGGGGTCTGTTCATCATTGGGATCTCTGAGCTCCTTGGTACAGGTAGCTGGTTGGGACGCCGACTCCTGTCGACTGGTTGAGGGCAACCGGTCTCCAGTCTGGGCCTCAGGCTCTCTGATTCCTGCAATCAAGGGCTGAAGTGGCTCCTGGACTGGCGCCTCCACCAAGTGTCCTTCCACCCTAGTGAGCTGGGCTTCTCTCCTTTATACTAGTGCAGCATTTGGAGCATGCCCCATCTGGTCTAAGGGGCGGCACTTCTGCCGCCCATAGTGTGGGATTAACCTTTTACTGCCTAGTGCGGGGTATGCACGCCCCATCACAGTCTTGTTAAGACATTGGACTCTTTGGGTCTATATATTCCATCTAAATTAATACAACAGGGCATCCTCTGCATATAACATCAACATGGAACCAAGTTATATGCCTGGGGTATCTGGATGAGACTGTATAAATATTGCCAGGGGCTCAAGAGCCAAATCAAAAAGTAATAGAGACAACAGTCACACTTGCCTGGTTCCTCTGAAAAGGCTGAAAATATTCAAGATCACTTTGCTGGTTGTGAGGTGAGAAGTTGGGGACTAATATAACAGTTGGCTGTAGGAACTAAACATGGGTACAAATAAAAAAATTTGTAGAGTATAAAACATACCTCCAGCTTACCCTCTCAAAAGCATTTTCTGCAACTAAGGCTAAAACAGCTTGTGGTTCAGGGTCACCATATTTTACTGCTATCGTATGATACGATTAACTTTGTCAAAGGTTTTCAGAGCCAAGAAGGTCTCTGACAAACCCAATTGATTTGGATGTATGATAGAGCCCAAAACCTTCTCCAGTCTCATTCCCAGAACTTTTGCCACTACAGTATTCTGATACCACTATTAACAAGGGATATTGGCCTGCAGTTGGAACATAGTGTGGCATCTCACCATCTCTTCCTGGTTTAGGAATAACTAATATTAGGGCTTCCCTCAGCATATGAAGGAAGGATGCCTTCTAGAAGTGACTCATTAAACATTTCAATTATCTTGCCAGACAGAAGTTCAAAGAAATGTCTATAGAACTCAGTGGGGAACCTATCTGGGGCTGAGACTTTCCCCGCTTTCATATTCTTAATCACCTCACTTAAGTCATCCTCAGTTAGGGGAGCATCAAGTTTTCCATACTGGCCTGCAGTAATTTGTGATAATGTAATATTTTTTAAAAAATCAATCCAAATAATCTGCGGAGGGGTTTGTACAGATCTTTGTAGAAATTAAAGAACTATTTATTATTCCCATTGGGTGATGTACGTAATTTACCATGTTTATCACAAAAGACCATGATTCTACACACAGAGGCCTTTTGTCTTAGTTGATATGCCAGCAACTTGCTTGCTTTTTCACTCCATTTCCAGAAATACTACTCAGTCAAAATAGGGCGAGTTCAGCCTGTGCCAAGTGAAGCTCATTGAGTTCATATCTATAATTGATCAGGAATCACAACGAATCTGGAGATGGGGCTATGGCATAAGATGAGTCAAGCTCTTACTTTTTTTTCTTCAGGGCAATCAAATTTTCTTCATATTTCCTCTTCTTGGAAGTCATGAAACTAATAATTCTCTCTCTCAAATAGGCCTTGAGAGTCTCCCACAACATCCTGCTAGAAGATGTTGAGGGTTTGTTTGTCTCCAGGAAAAGGCCAATTCCTTTTTCAATGTATATATTTTTAATGAGGATCTAATAAAAGAGAAGAAT